GCCCAATCACCAAGCTCCGGAATCAAATGGCCCGACAAATTGTCCATCAACCACTCTTGAAGAGACGCCAAGAAGAAAGCTGACCACTGTGCCTGCGGAACAAGGCCCTTCCACGTCATCACCGCAACTTCACAATCACGTAATATATGCAGAGTAGATTCCTCCTGATTATTGCAAACAGTACAGATGGCCGAGGAAGACATGTGGCGACGCACTCGGCTAACGTTAGTGAGCAAGCTCTCTCGGGCAGCCAACCAAAGGAACATCCGCACCCGCTGAGGACCGAGTCACTTCCAAATCAGCCTCCAAAGCCGTGATCCATGGGCTGGACCGGGCTGAGACAAAGAGTGATATGTCGACCGGGTCGTAAAACGGCCATCCTCCGACCACCCCCAATATGGACTATCCTCTCGACTATGCGCCAGCGGCGGCGGAACCGCTGCTATCCGGAGGAGGTAAGACGCCGGCAACCAGTCTTGGAAACGGGCCCAATCCCACCGGCCATCCACTGTAACGTAGACCGAGACCGGGGCCTGCAGCAAACTCTCCGGTACCGGGCGGGTAGCAACCGAAATTAACGAAACGGGTACGCCCAACCAACGATCCCACCAAAATCTAGCCCTTCGGCCGTCAAGAAATTAAAATTTTTATTCATTACAAAGTATTCGTAAAATTTGCCAGTAGGACAAAGTATTCGTTCCAAAGTAATCGTCAACCTATTCATTATTGAAAAAATAGGTCTAGGGGTAGAGTATGCGACGTGTAAAAGAACACAAAATATAAGCGGAAGTGACAATTAACAAGTTTGTTTTCGAGGAGCGTTTCGCTATCCTTTAGAGCATTTTCATTAGTAAATCGGTTGTCTCGTGCAGTATATAGTTTGGAATTACAAGTAAATGACTCTATCACAAACCTACCACAACTATACTGATCATACTAATTAATTCTCTTGCCACAACGTGGACTAACAACTATTACGGAAATCCCTCCAAGCTGATAATACCCAAAAGTACAAAGATCATATGTTTCAATATTATAGAGATTCTAAAACACAAAATTGAAATCTTGAATTCACGAGCTATATATATAATACAATCAATCAGCTCATGATATCTCAGAGAATAGATTAACTCAATATCCTTAGGAAAGAATAATGAAACTCAATTCTTCTCTCTAAATTTCGTGATCTAATATATATAGACAAAAGACAAATTCTAACTAGTTAGGACACACTAGGTTGGCATGATCCAAGTAGAATCCAAGTATGTGATTTTGAGATCTCAGAATTTTGTTTCAAAATCATGCAGGAACACAATTTTCCTAAAATAGTCGATCTTTCAAATATAAGAGATCTTGAGGTGATTTTTTCAGATCATACTTAGATCTTCTCCAAAATTTTCTAAGGATGACTGTTGGGAATCATATCCGATGGAGCAAAGCAATACATGACTGACTTAGGAACCTTTCATCAATATTGAACCCTATCCACTAGATTCTTTTATTGAATAATTGTCCTTTTCCCGTACGGATTGGCAGGATTCTTCATGTATGGATAGTTAATCCTTTTGTAGTTCTTGCTACACATTCTTTGTCCTACAAGATAGAGAGAATTAATTAGAATATAACCCAAACACGCGGGAACCAACTATTTGAATCGGGCAGAACCCGAGCAACGTACGTTCTGATCCCTCAGGCGATAACCCGCGGCCCCATCGATCTCGCGGATGCATCTCCGCGCTTGCCGTGCATAGCGCCCAACATCTTCACGCACGCCCGCACAAGCGCCCAGACCTCGCCAGGCCTCGCACCACTACACAACACGAGCATCGTGTGGGTTTCGCACGCGACACTCTTTGCGACCCAACAAAAACTCTAGGCAACATAGGCCTTGCGCTGCGACAGTGCGAGAGTCTCACGACGTGCCATGCGTCGTGCAGGCACAACGCCCAGTCTACATTGACCCGTCGCGCCGCGGTGCCAGCAGTTTCAAAATTTTGCTTGTACGTTTTTGTGGCTACTTTTGGCGAATCCTATTTGAGGATAACTCGAACCTAGGGCTTAAGATCATTCCAGACTTCGTATTTGATAAGTTTTTATCTCTTTTGGAAACAATCTTGATCGTGTGCGTGCTGTTATAGACACTTTAAAAAAAGGATCATTGTATGCTAATCTTAAAAAGTGTTCTTTTTGCATGCATAAAGTTGATTTTCTTGAATTTTCTGTAAGTGGTGAGGGAATAAAAAGGGAAAAGGATAAGATCAATGTTATTTTGGATTGGCCAGTTCCTAATAGCACTTTAGTAAGAAGTTTTCATGGTCCTGCTAGCTTCTATATGAGGTCTGTGCTAGCTTCTATACGACGTCTGTGATAGATTTTAGTACCATTTTTGCACCATTAAATGAATTGTGAAAAAAGAAGTTCTTTTAGTTGGGAGAAAAACAACAACTTGCTTTTGATCTATTGAAAGAAAAAATAACTTTTGCACCTATTCTTGTTTTGCCTAACTTTGATAAATCTTTTAAACCTAAATGTGACGTTTCTGAGTGGGTGTAGGTGTTGTTTTGTTGCAGTAAGGAAACTCATTGCATATTTCAGCGAGAATTTGAAAGAAGCTGAATTGAACTTCCCGACATATGATAAGGAATTATATACATTGGGGCAAGATGGAAAAGCCAAGGTTGAAATGATCAAGAAGTTGCATGAGAAGGACAAACTGGACATTGAGAAGCAAATTGAGAAATATGCAACAAGCCAATAAAGGCGAAAGAAAGTTAGCTTTGAACCTGAAGATTGGGTTGGGTTGCATTTGAGCAAAGATAGATTCCCAACAAAGCGCAAAAAGTTGCAAGCCAGGAAAGATGGTCCATTTCAAGTGATTGCAAAGATCAACGAAAATGCCTTCAAACTCGATCTTCCAGGGAAGTACAATGTGAACGCTTCATTTAATGTTTCTGATCTTTCTCCTTTTCACTTTGTTTCAAATTTGAGGTCGAATCTTTTTGGAGAAGAAGGGAATGATGGGGACCATTCGAAGCTTTCGTTCAAAGTAAGGTAGATCCATTGAAAAAAAAATGGGGGTCCGATCTCGAGGGTGAGGGCTAAGAAAATAAAGAAAGTCTTGAGTGTTCTTATTGCTTTCAAGAAAAGACGGACCGAATCCCGATTGAAGGCCAAGTGCTGAATATTCTTCATGTAGATGTACCAGAAATGATGAAAATAAATCCCTTCTATAATCAACATATTTTATAATTTTGCATCATAAGACTTTATAGTTTATTACTATGCAATGGACATATATGTTACAATAATTTCATTATGGAAAGGAATCAAAATCCAAAAAAAAAAATGATAAAAATAATTAATCATGGTTGACAATAATATACAAATGAAACACATGTTGAAATTCTAAAAAAAAAGAGTTAATATATTTTAAATTTATTATCTGATCATTAGTAAAACTATTTAATACGTGTGGTCATTATATTTTAAATGATAAATTATATTAATTTAAAGAATCATTAATTTATATATATATATATATATATATATATAAAATTAAATAATGCTTAATAAAAAATTATATTAGAAAAGATTAATTCACCGACTTGATTTTTCTTGACTAATTGGAACGAAAAATCTCTAACCTGTTACGATTTTATATTAGTCTAGGATGAAAAATAGAAATATGAGAAAACAGAAGATAAAATAAGGTAATAGTAGAATGCACAAAGTAGGTAAATGAGAAAACAAAAGATCAAACAAAAGATAAAATAAGGTAATAGTAGAATGCAGAAACATGAAATAACAACCTTCTTATTAAACAAACATAGCCACTGCCATTGAAATGCTCTTATTAAGCACTATCTAATTTGTGATTATTCATTCTTGTGTGCACTATTTTAATCCCTTCAAATTCATTTTCTGCATTGCTCTTGTTGTACAAAAACATCCCAAAACAGAATCTAGTTTGTATCTCAAGTACAAAGAAAAAGTTTCAAGATTTAAGACGATCCATGACATGACTTATCTCAAACTTTTATCTCTATTTTACGGTTGTCAGTGGCCACTTTCAAGATAATTCACTGTCATTTTGAACTATTTTGTCGACTGGGTTCTGCTCGGCCCACACAACTGCATCCATATATCCAAGCTCAAAAAGCTTATCGAGAATATCATCCGCTGCGGGCTCGAGTGCCCAATTGAAAAGCTGGAAATAAGATGATGCGAAAGAAGGTCAAAGTATGCTTCTGACAACATACATATCAATCTAATTAGGCCTGCAATATTACCTCCCGAGGACTAGCCCTGTTATCCGGGTTGCAATCAGGGCTAATCCCTATCCCTTGTATTCCCAAACGGCTTGCAGGGAAAGCACAAACACGTACCTGCAAGATAGTGACGCAGTGAAAGCATAATGAAAGGAATAAAACAAGAGAAAGACTCTAATAAATTTATTAATGAAATTCAACCTATTCAAACACAAGATAATATGAGTCTTCAGATAGAACTCCTAAAAAGTCCTAATCTTGTCTAAAAAGTAAAGGATAATTAAATATTTTTCCTACCAAATAAAAAAATAGAATAATTAATAACTTTACAAATTTAAGACTAAAATACTAAAAATAAGTAAAATGAATAAATAATTAAATTAAATATCCCAAATATCATGCTTGTCCTATCTCCATCATTCTCCCCCTCTTGAAAAGGATTTGCCCTCGACGCAATCTCGTCTTCATCTGCTCCACCACAGTCACGACCGGACCAATTTTATGAGTCGATAAAATGGTATACCCTATCGAGCCTTCTTTAATGTTTTTATTGTAAACTTCTCCTTAGACGCACGGCCTTTGCCCTCGGCGGCCCCTCCAACAGCTTCATGGGCCGCCGCTTCTTTGGTCTGAAGGACGTTCCCATCTCCTCCTTCGACCACTCCATCTACCTCACTGCCTCTGTCGAACTCTGTCAACCCCACGGCATCAGAAATAGGCGGAACCGTATATTCGGTCGAACCCGTCGTCATAAAAAAAGGCAGACCCTCGTCTTCGGTCAACTAAGAACTTGGCGGCCTTCAAGTCACTAGAGAATTCGAGATCTTGACCCGAAAAGAAACCTCCCATAGTCGATTGCCGGCGAATTAGTCCTCGTCCCATGCCGCCATATTACTTAAAGGACGTACCTCGAATATGGTGACTTTAAAGTCACCGCCACAGACAAGTGATTGAGACGATTGGGAGCGGGGCGGCCCGCGTGTGCCCCGATTGCGTCCACCGTTCACTCCCCCGATATGACGCGCGATTCGTTTGCTTGCCATGAATACGTAGAGTTATCCATCCTCGAAACCCGCGAATTTAACGACTCACCACATCGAATTGGCGGTTGAAGCACGCGGTCATATCCGCGACTTGTTGACCCAAAGCGTGGATAGCGGCGTCGCACCTATCGTCTGTAGCATCGTTCCTTTGCGGCGGCATAGTGAATCGTTCTCTGGATACCAACTAACGTAGAGAAAGCATAACGAAAGGCATAAAACAAGAGAAAGACTCTCAATATCTTTATTAATCAAATTCAACCCATTCGAACACGAGAATAGGTGTTTTTAAATAGAACTCTTAAAAAGCCGTAATCTTGTCTAAGTAAAGGATATTTAAATATAGGGATGGCAATGGGTGACAAACCCGCTGGGGGGACCCCCCGTCACCCGTCCCCATTAGGGAAAATACCCCCGTCACCCGGCCCCATCACCCGTCTCGGGTCCAGATTTCCCCCAGACCCGGCACCCGTGTGGGTGATGGGTACCCATCGGGTGACACAGACCCGATTTCACTCGACGGCGCCGGCACGGCC